TTTCAATTGCTGTTACCGTTTCTTTGTTTTCTTATTATGCGGGTGAATTTAATAAAAGTTAATGGCCAGAATAGAAAACGTTCAATGCAAAGTAGACGTGCGTACACCGTTTCTTAAATTAGCATTTCTCACGTGAGCTATCAAGTACGTGTTATGACGACTTGGTGCACTTGAATATAAATAATTCGCTAGTGTTTTGGTCTAACGGGAATCTCAGACAATAGCCTTTTGTAGTATTTCAAAATGGGTTTGTTTGGGAGCTAGGGCTTTTAATCTCACGGTCTACGTAAGTAGTAATTGGGACGACAGCTATTATTATAAACATACATTAAACAACTGTCATTTATTATTGTCAATAGCATGGTAATTGGTCAGCCAAACAGTCCATCGCTGGATGATCATGGCCAAACGTTTTTCCATGATTATGAGCAATCTTTTAGGACCTGTTCGAAAAATAGTGCTCTTTTACTTTTTGCGTTAATAAATAATTCATCTAAAATGATTCTAATGCACAAAACGGGTAAAACGGATATTAGAATAGTATTTATAAATGCTGAAGGTTTCAAAGCTCTTATTGATATAATCAACTTGTGCTTCAGGAAGAAAGATGCACCCATTTCAGTTGTAAAATCTTCATAAGATAGTTGCAACATGTGTTTTGATGTTTAGCTCTCGTGTTATCTGTTGAAACTGAAAATCCATTTCCATCCAAATCCATTTAATATGAGGTCATTGGGGCTTATTTCAACATTCAAAGTCAAACTACTTACCATGTAAATGTAATGAAAGCAATTTGTATGTATCTCACGTTTTAATTGGTAACTAGCAGTCCCGGCAAATTTCTTACCGCCTTTTGGAAATCCCGTTTGCCCGTACCCCCTTTCCGTGGGAACTTCGGGAAGTCTCTTTCGGAATACGCTTTAACACTTTCAAAGAAACATACGTTCTTTTCTACTGTAAAACATAAAATCCTTTTTTTCCTGTTCCCGTTCCCGTTGGAATTTCAAGAAATGAACACAGTTGTTTGGAAATTATCTTTTAGACGCTGAAGTAATTTACAAATTATGTAATATTTGTAAACATTGGGATATTTTAACAGTTTTAAGTGAAATTGAAAGTGACTCGAAAGAAGACATGAAAATGTAACCCGTTGATCCTATTCTACCCGCAAGACCTTTTTCTTAAGAACTCGAGGCTGTCTTGAATTAGCTTGAACACGCAATTAACTTAATGTTCTAATTACACATAAAGATCACAATTCAATTGCTAGCGCACTCGTACAACGGTACATCAACTCGCCGGCATTCCCTTACGTTGATTATGCTTTCAAAACAAAACACAACAAAATAGCCAATAGGTATTTATCGATGTGTCGTGCTTTAATTAATGATGGTTTAAATTGTTCTTATACTATTTGTGGCTTACCTAATTACATACACTGCACGTTATATCCTTAAATCTGGATAGTTATGCGTACCGTTAGTAGCAAAATTACATTTTTTAAATTATTTTTAATTATAATTATATCGAAATTACACTGATAACAGTGATAGAAAGTCATTCAAAGTTGAGTGTGTCCAAGAATGACTTTGGAAATGTTACGCTTTAAGACCAACGCTCACTGCGCGTAAGGTGTGTAATTGCACAATTAAACCTTTGGAAATATTATGCGTTAGACGGCGATTTCTTAAATTATCCTTATTGTTTACTGATCACATTTAAAATTCTTGAAAGTAACATGATAAAATGTAAGGTTTTAAACTATTCATGCTCTTCCAGTGATTGCACATGAAAGTGTACCTATTTACTTTTACAGTCGCAAAAACTACAATATTGATTACTTTTGGCCATTGTAAATAAACAAAATGGCTGTCTTATACCACCAATATTAATTACAATGTACTTTCACCAGAGGTCTCACTGTTAATCTGAATCGCGAATAGATGATGAGGGTGGGTGTGTTCTGCTGCACCAGCATAGTACACAATTGTATCACACGAACTGAATGTATGTCCAAATTAAGTTCTTTTGAATTCAAAAATCAAAAACCAAAAAGCTTTCAAAAAAGCCATGTATAAAATTGTTCGTCGTTCTATAGTTCTATTGTTTTGTTTCTAATCCATTATGTTTTATGGGGTGAAGCCCTTTGTGCTGCTGCTGATTGCATTTGGCTAGAGTTTTCCGCCCCCTAGCAGCCTCGCTCTGTGAAATGAAGCAAACGGGTTCTTTCGTGGCAGTCCTTATAATGGTAAAATACGTTAAACAAGGGTGAATAGAAACTGAATGCAGATCTAATTATTTGCATGTTCAAATTACCTTTACTTACTCAGAATTAGAAAGCTGAATATCGAATTGTAACTGTCAGCAGTTGAAAGAATACGTGAACCAGATCTGGCGTTCCTTTTTAGCGCATTTCCACAATAAAAAAAAAACGCTATTGTGGCCACTTTGTCCGTCCGTCCGTCCGCTCGTTTTGCGACGCTACTAGTTTTTATCTTAAGAGCTATTGTTCTAGTTTTTTTGCTATTTGGTTCGTTATGGTGTCGTGTCTTGCACCAAGGAAGGATTTTTTTCTGTACCGCTTACAAAAAAAAGTTATTGTAAAAAAACAAAAAACCGTTTTTTACATGTTCCATAATTATACACTTTTGCCGTTTATTAACGATCCTAGAGATCGTTTATAATTTTGTATTGCTGTCTGTCGTCTGGCTGGTGGTCCGTCCGTCTGTTCCTTTGTCTGTCTGTCCCTCTATCTGTCCGTGTGAACGATAACTTTGTTTAGAAATGTCCGATCGCTTTGACATCTCCGTTAGTTATGAACTGAATTGCATGAAATTCAATATGAGCATAGCTTTAGCCATATAATACGCAATGCCAGTCGAATCGATTCAAAATTCACAGTGCCCTTTTCGCATCTCGACCATTTATAAACCGAATTGCAAACTTTTTTAATTATAAAAGTATTTAAATGAAATTTGATATATATACACTTGGAATAAAAGTAAATTTAACGTCAATTTCAAAATTTGGTTTTGCGCATGCGCAGTGACAACTTTCTTATTTATGGAAGCATTTAAATGAAATTTGATACATAGCCACTTGGAACAAAGGAAAATCTAACGTTAGCTTCAAAATTTAGGTTTGCGCATGCGCAGTTCCAACTTTCTTATTTAGAAAAGCATTGAAATGAAACTCTTCTTATAACCTGAAATTGAAGTAGCACGTCAAAAATGGATTGCACATGTGCAACGTTATCTTTCATATTTATGGTCGCATTTTTACAATTTTAACAAAAGTTGCATCTTACAAATAGGAAATGAATGCAAGTGGAAATACGCTTTATGTAAATCGTTTACGATTACTTTTTAACTTGTTATAATATTCTAGATAATTATTTAAAACACTTTTACATGAAAAGAAATTAACAAACAGTTCAATAAGCTAAATCCGACAAATCTATAGATAGATATAGTATACAGGGTGATTCCTATAGTACCTGCCACCGTTTGGGAGCGTGTAGGTGGTGCGTAGGGGAGTATTTTGATATAGGACACTTGGGGTCGAAAATCTAAAATAAGGGTGCCCGAGCCAAATTTACCTTCTGGAATTTCGCGCCTGTAGGTAGGCAACCCAACCGGCCGGCGGTGCACACGGAGCGATCTCAGGCGGCGATGTGGGGCTGACACTTGATCAGAATTTTGTTTAAACCCACGAAATCCCGTCTGCAACGACGCGTATCAAGTGAATAAACACTATGGCAATAGTATAATAATAATAATAGTTGGCTAGATGTAGGAAGTGCATTGAGAACAACGGTGGCCACGTTGAACACTTGTAAACGTTATTGCTTTTGACTGTCGTTTTCCCTCCTTCCCTTCCATGTCGCTTCCTCGCGCTAACTCGCTCTGCATCGCTCCGCGCGAAACGTCGGTCGGTTGGGTTGCCTACATACAGGCGTGACATTCCAGAAGATAAATTTGGTTCTGGCGCCCTTATTTTAGATTTCCGACCCCAAGTGTCCTATATCAAAATACTCCCCTAGGCACCCCCTATACGCTCCTAAACGGTGGCAGGTACTATAGGAATCACCCTGTATATAGGAAGAATATAAATGTTGTACTTCAAAGGGCTGTAACTTTTGATCCAGTAGCCCAATCTTGGAACTGTTTGAAATTATGGATTCTACAGGCCACATTCTATAAGAAAATGTTTTTTCCCGGTCGATCTGAGACAATGTTTTTTTGGTGCCTCAAAAAAAGGCAGTGTACAACCTTCCTTTTTTACCAAAAATCGACTACACCAAAATTTCTCGGGAATACTTTTATTATATGTATGTACGATGTACGTAAGTCACATTTATCTTAAACATTTTTATTGGACCGTAAAAGAACTAAATGTTTACTTAGCGCATGTCTTCGTGAAAAATCAACGAAAACAATCGTTCTACAGGCGCAGAAGAAGGTCTAAGATACTTTTAAAGTATCTAAGACTGAAAGTATCTTAATTACTTTTGGTGGTATCTAGATACTTTAGAAGAGTAACTTGTACCTATAAGATACTTTACAAAAGTATCTAAAACATAGGTACTTTTTGGCTCAAGAGAAAAGTATCTTAGATACTTTCAGTAACTAGATACCGAAAATACTCTTTTTCTAAAATATTTACAGCTCTGGCGCATATGTAACAGTATTTGCGGATTAGATAATTCGCTCAATAAAAAGCGAATCGATGCGTAAGAAGTAAATATTATAAAGGGAAGGTACTTGGCGGAAAAGTACCTTATTTTTATATTTAGCATTACTACATTTCGTCAAACTAATGCTGATCGTTGACGTAGGATGTCACACAGGCCCGTAGGGCCTGTTGTTTCTAGTAGATTATTAATGATTTTGTTTTCGTCTAAGTATGTGGCTAATTAGAGTCGCCCATTAATTGATGAATTGCTTTTGTATTGCTTAGCATTACTTACCTACAAGTTTCTAACTTAACTTTTGTTACAGATGGCACACGAGCTACGGTAAAAGGGGGTCGCGCGTCGCCCGGCGCTCGGCCCCCACAGCTAAACAGGGTCCCAACTGCTCCTATTTCTAGGACTACAGAAGCTTTAGCCGTACTTGTTCAGCATTTAGTATTTAATGTAAGTTTTTTCTGAGGACTGTGCACCTACTATACACCTTCCCTTGTTGAAAATCACAACGTATTAGAACTGATTGAAATTGAACACCCCATATCACGCTGTTTTGTTCTACCAAATTATACCTTCCTTATAATTTCATTGTTTACATTTGATAATATTAGCTTGTTTGTTTATAATTGCTCTTTATTACTTATGTAGGTTAGTCATTGTTTGCTCTTTGTACTGTTTAAACTCTTCAAGTTAGTGCAGAGGCACCCACTCTGTGCAACTGCAGCATAAACATTGTGAACAAAATGTCTATTAAAGCGGTCGTAAACGTTTACTGGATTAAATCCAAAAGAATAAAGATGAAATCTGTAAGTGAAATGTACATTATGCCAATGTGATTTGAGGGTATTTTCTTCTTTTACAGTTAGAAGCATTCCAAACACCTTCCCTAAAAAAACAAATTGAAAAGAATAGAATGATAGCCGAAGAAGCAGCTCGTTTCTCCTGCAGACAAATGGAAGAACACATCAAAGAAATAGAAGGCGAAAGGGCGCAGTATCGTAAAGACATCGAGGAAATTATGGAGCAACATAGGAACGATATAATGCAATGTAAGTTTAATTTTCGCAATCCCCACAAGTATCTACAGGTATTTCAGTAAAACGCCAGCATTTGGAGACGGAACAGGAACTAATTTCGGAGCACGAAAATATTAAAAGGCAACTGTCATCGTGTCACAACGAGCAACTACTCAAACTCAGAGTGGAGTGTAACAAACTACAAAAAAGCCATGGACAGTCCTTAGACATACTGAGGGAGGAAAATGACTCAATCCGGGAAGAAATTGATGATAAAAACGCGCTCATTGCAAAACTAGAAAAAGAAAAAGAGAAGCAGTACAAGGAGTTTCAAATTAAAGAAAAGCAGTACAAAGAAAAGCTCAATTTGGCTAGTGATGAAATTAGTAGTTTAAAATCCGAAAATCTCAAACTCATGAGTTACGTGTCCGCGGGAAAAGAAAACAAATTACAGGTAAAATTAGCTTATACTCTCATCAGTGTTTTATCGTTTTTGTGCAGCTGGTGTTGGCGGAAGTAGAGTCCCTTCGGGCAGTGCTAGAACTGAAACAGACCGATATCGCGGATTTGCGAAAGTTACTGGCACAATCCAATCAAAAGGCCGAACTAGTTCCACGAATTGCCGATAAAGTTTCCGTCCTGTCGGCCCGATGTGAAGATTTGGAATCGCAGTTGGAAAGCAAGTCGGGCTACGAACAGTAAGTAACCCGTAGCGTATCTCGTCCGCTGCATTCTTGTTTTCGCAGACAATTACTCATGGAGAATAGGAAGTTGCAAGAGAGTCTCAAGGAAGAAATGAACCACAGCGTTCGGCTGCGACAGCACAACGAAGAGCTGCAGTGGAAGGTGCAGCAAAACAAGGAGGTGGTCTCGCGCGTGATCGAGGAAACCAGCTTTAGCCGCTGCCTGCACAATTCGTACGATAGAGACCTTTCGGATTCTTCGCCGCCTAGTTCGCCGAAGGTGAAGGGAGTGGTGGAAAAATCGGATTCGGTCAGCTACGTGCTGGAAATTGAAGAAAGCCCGCAGATCATCGCGAGTAGGATTGTAAGGCGAAGCTTTCGCAATTCGACGCCTCCCAAAACCAGTACGCCGTCAGTGAAGTGTATGGAAAGGTCGAGTAAAAGTAGCATTTCTGATGTGTCTAGTATAAAATACGATCATAGTATGGATTTAGAAGACTTTAATGATGACGATATTCAATTACCCCCACTGCCTAGTGAGATCGGTCAAAAAAGTGTCGCCGAAGCGTTGCCAGTACCAAAAAATTTTGCCGGGGAGGCGATGACCTCACAAAGTAATTCGGATGATGAAAGTACTACGAGTACTTCCAGTGGACAGTTATGAGATGAACTCTTTTTTTAATTTTGTTGTTGTTAAATTTAATAAATTGGAATTTTATTTTGTAACTTGAAAGATGTGGGATCCTGTCGCACTTCCAGGTTTGGAACATTCTCTTTTGCTAAACCACTTGGTATCTATGTTGTTCTACATGTATGATTTTAACAGTCCATAAGTATAAAAATTAATATTGCATGCAGTTCTGTACAGTTTTCAGTTTAATGTTAGTAATTGTAAAATAAAGAATTCCTTATCGATGAAGAAAATATATAGTTATACATAATATCAGTATTACTTTTAACACATGAGGTTGTTTGTTGAATATGGTTTATTTTTGTGGTAAATATTTTAATACTATGCATTATGAAGAATGTGCTCTAATTTTAATATCAGTATTGATTTTAACAACTTGACAATTATTATGTTTGTGGTAAACGCTATAATACTGTGGTGGTATGTGAAGATTTCTCGTATGTGTGCTCTACATTTTTCAGATTGATTTTGTGAGCGTTTATTTATTGTGAGGTAGCACGACATGAGGTGTACTATACAAATAGATATTTTATAGAATGTTAGGACCAAATAGATTTTCACATTTAATATTTATTGTATAAAGTTGAATGTTTTCTTATGTATAAAGTGTAAAATAAAGTTAACTTGTAAACCTACCTTCTGTTAGTTATAGGTTCCTATTCTTTGCTTCTGGACTGGATTATACGTTAGGAAGATGTTGATTGTTTTTCTTATTATGACTTGCGTGTGTTCTATCATTTCTTTCCTAAGTATTAGTTTTCATTGGATACCTACTATCTATTTTTCGTTTTGAAATATTCAAAATTGTCCGGGGCAGTCCTAACACCAATGACCTTAACACTTTCGAAGAACCAACTGAGAGCATGCTCAGGGCAATAAACAAAATTCTTTAAAACGGTAATAAAAAAATGAATTTTCTCATAAAAATGACATAATTTTTTACTAATGATAACTAGCCTATACTATTTTATAAATAATAGTATTTATTTTATAACGTTCTAATAGATATGACTTAGTGGTTAAGTCACTCTTTAACCATAAGGGTAGATAAAGTGAAACAGATTATTGTGCATTTCAATGACATCTTATTTCAAATGAAACGCGGAGCACGAAATAAAAGGAAGTTCAGAACACAATCCAAAGCTGTTTCTTTGGAAACGGCAGACCTAAACTTGCTATTTTTGACGTCTACATTAAATCCAGAATTGTTACATTGATTTATATGGCTTCTGCAATAAATTATACACGACTATAAAGGGAAGCTGACCATCTCAAGAATTAACATCTTTCACTCAATGGTTAAAATTTCCCTTTATCTTCTTGTATAATAAATAACTATTTCTTTAGTAGATAACACCAAAGAGTATACTCTTTGATAACACTGACATACCTACCCGTCCTCGAAAAACCAAAATAGATCATTTCGGTTCTATCTCTGTTTCCACATTTCCAGAAAGCTCAAGCTTACAAAGTTTCACAACGGGCCGGCTGCTTGAACGTTCACTACCTTTATTTTCCAATCTTTTCAAGAGAACACTTTCACTACCCTCCCTAAAGACCATTTGTTACGTCGATCATGACACAAACTAGGATCCAAAATTATGCACTATTTCCAACTCTGAAGGATGATCCAATTCGCCAGCCACTTCATGATTGCTGATTTAGTGTCCAAATGAACAGCTCGAAGGGAAAGGCATGTAAACAAGACTACTCCAAAGCGTTTCTCCCTTCCCTTTCCGACAGTTACATATAATGGGCCAAAATAAACGACTCCCTAAGTAAATTAGTGGGCGATAAAATCATTCCTTTCCTCGACTTTATCCTCATCATCGCCTCGAAATACCTTTCCGTGATTAATCATTCTGAGAACGGCTTTTGAGAATTTGAAATTCAGGAGGAAATTACAAATCCGCCAGCTGCATGAATTTTACTGACGTCACCCACAAGCCTTGCCGCCCTCTCCTCATCATCCTCACAATGCAAATAACCGCCCGTGTAGTGAATTAATTAACTACTCTCCGGTGATCATTCTCAAATTCTTCTGGCATTTCTGTTTTTGACGGTAAGTGCGGAAGATGGTGAACTGGTTACTCCAAATATCATCTACCACTCCTCAACAGGCTGTGATTTGTCTTTCATCCAGAGGAACCTTTGCGCATCTCTGTCTTCGTCTCGAATGAGACCCTGGTGGAACGGATATCTCTTTGATATGAGCCGCGTAGGCAACTCTTTCTCTCCCTGAACCGCATCAAAATCCCTGGAGGGACTCTAGCAAATCAGGAGCTCTGAGAAGATTGTCGTTGAGGCTTACTACATGGTTCGCATCCAAAAAATTTTGTTTATTAGTTTTTCCGAAATTGGGATGGTTTTATGTATAGGAACTCAAAAACACATCCAAGACTGTCACCTATCCATGCATGTGATATAATTCTAGTCAAACGACAAAAAAGAAATGCCAGATTTTGGCCCCTTTTTGAGAGTAGTTCCCAAGTGATGCGTTTCCATTTCTTATTAAAGAAAAAGCACATGGTTTTGGATCTGTGTATGCCCCAATCTATTTTAAATACTCGTATAGGTACGCTATATACTTGCGTAACCGGAACTTGTTGGGTCTGTGTGCAAACAACTTTTGTCGGCCCTTAATTTTACTGTAAACACAATACTGTCGAGTCGAGACGATCAGATTAATTCCTGGGGGCAACAATTTGCAATATGTCGATAGAATAAAGCTAAATGTCGTAGAAAGACCACATTCAATTTTTTTGTTTGAATTGGGTCGTACCTGTAGCTTATGCGTTAGCCAAACTTCGCAGTCCCAAGACTGATGTACAAATTGAAATGAATCAGTTAATGAATTTTAACATTTCACGTTATACGTTTGGGCACTTTTGTTGACCCACTAGCCCGTGTGCCCGCACACTCTATACTTACACCGCTCTTTACGGCACTAACTCTTTGATCATATAAAAGTGTACCTATCGACACAAAACTAAATAGCATGTTTGGTAACCTTTAATACCACTCACCTGATGATTTATTTTGGGAGTCGCTCTGTTGGATAAATCTAACTATACCTGCCATTTCACCTTTAGACTATGGAAACATAGATCCTTACAAGTGACGAGGAAGATTAGATAAATAATAATCCGATTTCCATAGCCAAGACAGAAATGAATTTTGTTTTTTGTGCCCATTTATTCAAAAGTATGTGTTCAAAATACTTGAAAGTACTCCACGATAAAATTTATTGTCTCATGCACAATCAGCTTTAATTATGGTACAGTCTATAGCTTTATTTTTGTACAACCGGACACCAATGCTAATACATAGCAAAGACTCGGTTTCATCAACGTACTGCACATGACGACAACAATAACCAAATCTTCTTTTTTGAAAACTCTTTTGCCAAACAAATGGCCGTTGTAGAGGTGAGAAACAACATTTATGTTCCTGACTATCCTTAGATTAGATATTGTGTACAGTTTAGATATAAACACTTGAAGACCTTTTAAAAGGCAAAAAATTGCGCCTCCTTCTACATTTCACTCGACATAATGAGGGCGGTTATGATAATAAGCCTGTTTGCTTTTAGCGGATTTATCCAAGCGCAGAAGGATCCACATTGGTGGAGTGGTCGAAATACGATCGTGCATCTATTCGAGTGGAAATGGAGTGATATAGCCGATGAATGCGAACGGTTTCTTCAACACAAGGGTTACGCTGGGGTGCAGGTAATATATTGTCTGATCGACAAACCGTCCATAAAGGAAACTTACACCAGATTTCACCACCAAATGAAAATATTGTGGTACCAAATCGTCCTTGGTGGGAGAGATATCAGCCGATCAGCTACAAGTTGAACACTCGTTCCGGAGACGAACGTGCCTTCCTGGACATGACAAGAAGATGTAATGCTGTTGGAATTAGGTAAAGCAATTTGGTAAACTGCTCAAATGAGATGTGATTACAGGATTTATGCCGATGTTGTGATCAACCACATGTCACGCGAATCTCTACGGCCTCCAGCGGTTGGTACCGGGGGATCATTTGCAGATCCGGCTGCAAAAAGCTTTCCAGCAGTACCCTACGGCGAGGGCGACTTTAATCCCACATGCGCCATTAACAACTACGCGGATGTGACCAACGTACGCAATTGTGAACTTGACCGTTTAAAGGATCTAAATCATGTGAGATGGATTATTCATTCGTGAATATCGCGTAATATGCGTTTTTTTTAGGGCAGTAATTATGTCCGCGAAAAGATTGTCGAATTTTTAAATCATCTTGTTAGTTTGGGAGTTGCCGGATTTCGAGTTGACGCCGCTAAACACATGTGGCCGAAAGATTTAGAATACATTTACGGCAATATTGCAAATCTCAACACTTCGTTCGGTTTTCCCGCAAACAGAAAACCATTCATTTATCAAGAAGTTATTGATTTAGGCGGAGAGGCGATATCTCGCGATTATTACACTTACTTAGGGGCGGTAACGGAATTTCGGCACAGTGCAGAAATTGGGCGCGTATTTAGGGGTTCGGATAAGTTAACTTACTTACACAATTGGGGTACTGGTTGGGGTTTTCTTTCGTCTGAGAATGCTTTGATTTTTGTTGACAATCACGATAACCAAAGAGGTCATGGCGCTGGTGGTCCTAATGTACTGACATATAAAACGTCTAAACAATATAAAATGGCAACAGCATTCATGCTGGCTTACCCATATGGAATTACAAGGATAATGTCAAGCTTTGATTTCGCATCATCTGAACAAGGTATGACGTAGCGATAAGATAGTGTTCATGATACGATTTTGATTACAGGACCTCCACAAGACAACAATGAAAACTTGATATCACCATCGATTACTCCTCATGGAACATGCGGAAATGGCTGGGTTTGCGAACATAGATGGAGGCAAATATTCAACATGATCGAATTTAAAAACGTAGTTCACGGTACCGGCGTAAACGACTGGTGGTCAAATGGAGATCAGCAGATAGCGTTCTGTAGGGGAGGAAAAGGATTCGTTGCTTTCACAAACTGGGGGGACTTTAGACAAACTTTGCAAACTTGCCTTCCAGCCGGAATTTACTGTGACATAATTAGTGGGCATCTCGGCGCGGATTCTAAGTCGTGTACTGGAAGAACAGTATACGTTGGTAGTAACGGCGTTGCACTGATAGAAATACAGGCAATGGGCGAAGACGGAGTTTTGGCTATTCATGAAAAATCGAAAGTAAATCTGAATTAGGTAAACTGTGCAAATTTGGTTCAAATAGAAAATTTGGTGCAGTTTGTTCCCATTTGTGGAAAGACAATAAATTGAACAGATAAAAAAAAACACTTTTATTTTCCAAGAAACTTTTTGGTCAAGCCTTGTAACGGAAATCCGTTGGGCTAAGAACATTTAATTTTAATTTTATCTTTGGTTTAAGTAGGGTGTTTTGTGTAGGTGTGACATCTACCCGTGTAGGGGCGGGAAAGAATACCCCTACTGCAGAGACACTGCATGTCGTAAGAGGCGATTAATCAACGGTGGTACGACCAATAACAGACGGTTAAAAAAAACAGAGAGATTTTAGGGTAAATGGTTTGTTAGTTTTTTAGTGAGGGATGTGTAGGAATGATATGTGATCTGTAGAGTGTCCGTGTTGTGACCAATGGGCGAAGGTGTCTTAGTTTTAGGAATATAAAATGTTTGTTTTGTGAACCAATTAAGCAGATCATGGATTTATTTGGTAGGCACCAGTTTCTATAATGTTCTCAGTATCGCCGAGCAGTGGCGTGGAATAGAAAAAAGCTACAGCTGTCGCAATTTTATCACGAGTTTTTTCCGTTGTAACAAAAATCAAGCTTTTGTGTATTTACCGCCGATTAAAACGCGATTTTCTGCACATTTTCGCATTAATCTATTCAGGCGTGACTTCAGACGAATGTACAATGGGTTCACTATTTAGCAGCGACTAATTAACTTCATGTTATTGTTCGCGTTCACGAAATCACGCTCATAACTCGAACTATGCGCTCTCGGAGTGACAAAACTCCAATTGGACGTGAATTACGAACCGGAGTGGTTACTTCTTGCTTGGTTGAGGATCGTATATATCTCAAAAGTGTGTCCGGATTAATCCCTACCTAATTTCTTTTGCAGTAATTAAGTAACGCCTTTCAAAATAGCGTCTAGTAATTAGGTCATATTTATTTTAAAACCCAATCAGAATCGTGTGCCCCCTGAAGTGTACATCCGAGTGTAACAAGTAGCCGCGTAGATTTTGAGTTTATAAATTTGACGGTATAGCAAATGTTATATGTGTTCCGCTCCATAATGAACGAGAACAGAACCACTATGCGAGAAAATGAAGCGCGTTAAGATAGGAAGCGAGTGTAAAACCTCTACATGTATAAAAAAAACATAGTCGAAGCTTGGTTCTCGTTGGTTCGGTTTCGGTTTTTTAATTTGGCGAGTACAAACTTAAAAATACGGTGGGAGAGAACTATTATTCACCGAACTGCAAGCTGAACCTATCTGACTCGAGTGCGACATTTTTATATCGCGTAAAGGTACGTTTCCTATGAAGCATCTGACGCGGTGCCGCTGACGCAATCCACCGCCTCAATAGAAAGCAATGGAACCATGTTCTAACCTACATGGGGCGGCCGTCTCCAGTTGCATGAGTAAAAGCCACACTGCGTCAGGCGCAAGCGTCAGACGCTTTATAGGAAACGTACCTTTATATCGGATTCTTCGCAAACCCTTCGTGTGTGCCGCATTTTCAGATCGCGTAAAAATTCAGTTTCAATTAAAGGTTCGCGATAAAACCGGATAACCGAAGTATACGAAAGAATCGTCAGCCACGTAATCGTACGTGAAAGTTGAAGTTAATTACTGAATTTTAAGAGAAAACTGTTCCACGAAATTATTGTTGTGGGTGCGTTACCAATTCATTAATGAGTTGCCAATACGGATAAAACCAATAATAAGCGACGTATTTATGCAAAAAGAGAACTTCGTCGTTTAGGGGTATTTACCGGACGGCTGATTTATATTCAACCATAAATACGGTGCGAATACGTTTCTTTCTTAATACGTAGGTACACGAACATCGCGTTTAAATAAATAGTTAGCACGAAAGCATTGTGTGGTTAAACAACTCGTTCCGTTCATTATTTGCTTCTAGCCGACGTATAAGTTTCGAGTCGCCGCAATTTCGAATGAATACTATATCATTTGCATTTGAGTGTTATCGAGCGCATTCCTTACAAATAAAGCAGAAAAGAAAGTGCCGTTGACCCATTTGTCGCATGAAATTACAACAAAGAAACCTGTCGGTAAAATAAAATTCATTATTACTGCCGCTAACGTAAAAGGCAATGTAGTGCAACCCTTTACCTAAGATATTATAAAACTCAAATAATAACCAAGCAGGCCTGTAATGTGCATTCAATCTTCAATTTCCACCCCGAAAATTGTCATCGGAAGATTTCCATACCGGCGGGTTTAAGCCACAAATTGACGAGTAAGAGTTATAGCACGTCTATGTAGAAGAAGAATTGCAAAATAAGGTTAGTCGTATTTAAACATTTCGCCAAGTTTTTTTTAATCAAATTTTTAGTGTTATTTTTCCGGAAAGTGGAAGAGAGGCGAAACCACTTGTAACCAATTTTCAGATTACAAAATGGAAATCTCTCACGTAATCCAGAAAAGTTTTAAAGAAACTAAAGTTATGGCAAAAAGTAATAAGGGCTAGCCGGCGGCATTTGAGTAATAAAATTTTCTTGTTGAAATTTTCAGTATTATATAAAAAACAAGAAGAGTTTCATCCGCATTTGCAAAAAAGACCGCTGCAATACGGGGTGTTATTGTATTTGTAACGATAACCAGGAAAAAGTTTAAAGACAATTAGTTCACATTATTGCTGGGTGTTAAAAACCTAAGTTATAAGAGTACTTTGTGACATTTTCCTACTACGGAACATTGGTAAATTAATCCAGTGAATAAACAAAAGGTTACAGTATCTGCGATTGTATTGTACAAGACGTTCTATCATTCAATTTTCTGAATTGTGGCTAAAAGGAGAAAATCAGCTGTCAAATGGAGAACATTTGGACTCATCGTAAGTTAATTGATTACATTCGTGTAGAAATAGGAGTCGATCGTTTTGTATAAAACAATTGTATGCTTTTAAAGTCAATTTAACATGCCTGAAGAGGTCGACCCCATTAAAGTTTATTCCCTGAGTAGATTTGTATATTTTATATAAATGAAAGAACCAACCTTCGGCTAGGTAAAGTGTAATTAAAAGTTTACTTATTACAGAGCTAGTCGCGGTATTTATTATTCGTTTACAAAAAATTAATTGTCTTGAATTTTTGGATTTATCGACTTTTCGACCATCTTGTATACTCATAACAATGCGCACCTCTATAGAAATTCAACTTTTACTCTACCAAAAAATTCAACCCCCATGAGAAAGCTACTGTTACACCATTGTAGACTAATTGCAGAGAATCGATCTAACACAAGCGGATGTTTGTTTCTTTCGCAGTAGGTACTGAAATTACATCATTTCTTAAAAACATTCACATTTACTTAGCATCATCTGTCGAGAAGGGTTGCAATTTTTGTGGGGCATGATGAAACATTTGTGTTTATTTGCTCGATTATGATTAGGGGGTGCACTATGAACCCTTAGAACGAAAATGTAACCTTTCCCACTACTGCAATTATGCAATTTGTTAGAAAAATTCACAGAAAGGATTTCAATATTTGTGGAGCTTTAATTATTTTAGTTTTTTTTATTTCATAATGAAATTCGCACTTAGATAATGCAGAGATTACACTTGTCTTATCACAGATTAAATGCACTATCTGTGATATTAGGCAGTAGGCACAGATTACACTATATACATAACACATATTGGTATCTGTAAACTGTGGTAGTTAGTAGGTAATAATCTGCTGGGAGAGTTGCAATTTTGGGTTTGTTGTAAGTACATGAACTTGATACTAATTATTGCCATTAACATACTAAAGGTATGTACGAAATTAAAGTTAAATTAAATTTCAATTTAATTTTTAATATTTATGCTGTAATGTTCCTAGGGGGGACTATCAAGCCGACACGGAAAACGTTGACTTACCCTATACTTACGGTTGGCAACTCTGGCAAAAACTACAAGCAGAACCACCTACCTTTCAAATCGAAACGATGGTAGTCTCGCGGCACTTTTGAATTTGGATGACAGTCGGCTCGATATGGGTGGCACGAATGGATTCCTACGTTGTGTAATCGGTTCTTTTATGTGTTGGGACGTGAGACATAATCGGGAAGGGAATTAAATAAAAGACAGAACTTTTGTGCGTAAGAAATGACAAGATCAAATAAATATATTAACGCACACACAAGACCATGCCAGGGAAACCTTCTACGGGACTAAAACCCTGGCATAGGCCATACAAATACATAAAATAAATCACCTACAGCAATAAAATGCAAGAGAAAATACACATAAATAAGACATCTCAAATGGTATGATAAAAATCAGATAATCAAATCAAATGCAATTAAACAAGTTCATAAAAACAAAATACACAAGACATCATAAATGCAGTGGAAAACATGATAAATCAATTCAGTGCAAAAAAAATACCTGTACGATAAATAGAAATAACACAACTTGTCAAATAAACAAATTGCATGTACATAGGAAACATGTAAATGGTGTGGCTCTACTCCATCCTTCAGTTAACATAATTTAATTTAACACGAAAAGTACATGTAAGAATGCCATTGGTCCATAGCAAGTATTCATGTGAAAATCGATTATCGCTCAAACAAAACTATTTTAAATAGAGGAAATGTAAATGAGAGGGCCCCACTCGTATTGCTAAGATGTTAAGAACTACAATCCGCACGAGACGAGTAGGCAACAGATACAGCGAACAATCAAACTGTATTAGGTGCTTCCCTCACGGAATTGTTACGGGTCAATCGAACAGAGCAACATCACACCGATAATCAACTCCTCATGAATAACAGAAGTAAATTACTTAATTAAACAAAATAATGGCATAATCATCTGTACAATATGACACAAACATGATTCATCTAACGGTACACGAAACAAAGGCATGGAGTACGCTATGATTCAGATATCGTAGTTTATGCAAAATCAGCAAAATGTAAATATCACATTGTGGCAAGAAATTCAATGATTAAATATGTAGTACAAGAAAGAATAAAATGGTTACTACCTGTAAATACATCTTCAAAACACCACCACCAAAAATAATCAAGAATAATCAAAAAAAACCGGGAAAGCGTGTGCCTTCCGTCGGCCTCGTCGCCATCTTCTCTCCATATTCTCTCCTAGCTTCGTTACCAAAATCCCCTAGTATTCGGCATCTGCGCAAAACGGTCGTTGGTTATATACAGAGCATATTCTATTTTTGTTTCAGATGTAAATGTGTGTTGCCTAACCATCAGGGTGGATTATCACAATGCTTGTATTTTTACAAAATTATTTTCAAATACACTGCAATTAATTATAAAAATCGGGTTTGGGGTTTCTAATACAAAAGAAGATTGCAATCAAAATTATTTCGTTTACCGGATAGCGCATAATTTCATCATCAGCAAAATGTAAGTAATGTAATTATGTAATGTGTAATAAGGGTATCGGGGCTTATAATAATATTGACCTTTTACTATGGCGCATAATTGCAACAAATGATATGTGCTTTAGACTCACTTTTGTAAATAGCAATTCCTTTTTGTTGAGGGAACGCGGCAAGATTATTACGAGAGCATTACTAGATACGTATCAACCCTTTCCATGTATATGATTAGCCCTCCCTCATATAAAATGGACCTACTCCTCCTACTCTTAGGTTGTGCAATTGCACAATTGATTCTTTTAGGAAACCTAATATTACAGTCCCTGAAATTCAAATAAATGTTATCGGAAAGAGTATTCTGTCCCAGTCCCAGTAGAAGCGGTATGCTTCTTATTACAATGGGAGATTGTTTGGGTCCCAAGTTACCATGCAGCTCTTGGCAGGTTGGCTTCCGTCGTAGTTTAGAGGTCACTTCTGTCGCTTGAATGATGTTGGGCTTAGAAAACAAGTAAGAGTTAGGGATAAATGAAGGGAGAGGGAGATGGACTTTGTATCTTCGGTAATCAACAACTATGTATTATTTAAAAAAAATTACAAAGGTATTTTTTTGACTTAGTTAGCAACTGTGTACATACATTAAGTTCATAAGTTTATCGCCCTTCTTGATATGTCATCACAATATATACATGAACTTACAGGAATTTCTATCAGTATAGGTATCAGAGTGACCATGAACTTCAATTTGCTGAGTATACTGGTTGCGTGTTGTACCATTCTTAGATGCGCTGATGCACAAAAAGATCCTCACTGGGTCGCTGGACGTAATACAATTGTGCATTTATTCGAGTGGAAATGGAAGGATGTCGCTGACGAATGCGAACGCTTTCTTCAATATAAAGGTTATGGCGGAGTGCAGGTAAAACCAAAATCATCGTGCCCCTATACTCAACATTGTTTCTAAAAGGTCTCGCCACCCACCGAAAACATCGTAGTGCCAAACCGTCCTTGGTGGGAGAGGTACCAACCGATCAGTTATAAGCTTGTCACGCGCTCGGGAAATGAGGCAGACTTTTTGGACATGAGCCAAAGATGTAACGCTGTTGGGATTAGGTTCGTATTTCCTACGGATGCAGTTCGGGGGTAAACGCGACTTTTAGAGTATACGCGGACGTCGTTATAAATCACATGGCCAGGGAACCAGTAGTACCTCCTGCGATAGGTACAGGAGGTTCGTCAGCGGATCCGGCCAGTAAAAATTTCCCAGACGTTCCCTACACGAGTGCAGATTTCCATTTGACTTGTCCAATCAACGATTACAAAGACGGCGGCAATGTTAGAAATTGCGAGCTTGAAAGGCTGAAAGACTTAAATCATGTGGGTCCTATACTCGTGTACACATTTCATATTTTGGGTTCTAGGGGCGTGAATACGTACAGGCAAAGATCATTGAACTCTTAAACCGGCTTATCGATTTAGGCGTTGCGGGATTTCGAATTGATGCAGCAAAGCATATGTGGCCGAAAGACTTGGAGTTCATTTACGGCAAACTTAAGAATCTGAATACATCGTTTGGTTTCTCGCCAAATTCTAGGGCGTTTATTTATCAAGAAGTCATCGATTTAGGCGGAGAAGCCGTATCTCGCGAATCTTACACTGCCTTGGGCACAGTCACCGAATTTCGACACAGTGCGGAAATTGGTAAAGTATTTAGAGCCAAGGATAAATTGACATACCTAAGCAACTGGGGCACTGGGTGGGGTCTACTTCCGAGTGAAGATGCATTCACATTTGTGGATAATCATGATAATCAAAGAGGTCATGGTGCCGGTGGTGATAATATACTGACTTATAAATCGTCGAAACAGTATAAAATGGCAACGGCTTTCATGTTGGCTTACCCATATGGTATTACTAGGATTATGTCAAGTTTTGACTTTGTCTCCTCTGATCAGGGTTAGGGTTTAGATACTTGCTTAGACGTACAACTGAAGATATCTATCAACAGGTCCCCCGCATGATAGCAAGGACAATATCGTTTCCCCGTCAATTAATTCAGATGGTACCTGCGGAAATGGTTGGATTTGCGAGCACCGCTGGAGGCAAATGTACAATATGGTAGAGTTTAAGAACGTAGTGGCAGGCACGGGCTTGTCTAACTGGTGGTCGGATGGCCATCAGCAAATATCGTTTTGCAGGGGAAAGAAAGGATTTATTGCGTTTACAAATTGGGGCGATCTAAAACAAACTTTGCAGACATGTCTTCCAGGTGGGACATATTGTGATATCATTAGTGGTCAACTTTCTGACGATTCCAAATCTTGTACTGGCAAGAAGGTTTATGTTGAGCCCAACGGATTCGCATACATTGATATTTGGGCGTTTGACGAAGATGGCGTTTTAGCAATTCATGAAAAATCTAAAATTTAAAAGCATGATAATTACCAAGGGTACTTTTAGTGTTGATTTAAACGTATTCAGATTATTCAACCATTTATAATGTCAAAAGGCGTATAGGTACCAATAAATAAATGTTTTTTAATACTTACCCATCGAGAGGCAGAGGAGAGGAAGTTTGGTGAATTGAGCATGGGATAATAAACAGAGTATATTTTCACAATTTACCTATACTTACGTCTTAGGTACGTCCTGTAAGTCAATTAGATTCGTTACCTGCAATACAATGCAAATCAATCTTTTTCATATTTGGTATAAGTTAGCTATACCATTGTATAGTACTACATATACAATGCCTAGGTATACTATACTGCATATAAAAAACAACAAAAGTACATTTTTATTACTACTGATTTTGAGCGAAAATTACACCTACTAATTTTTTAAACGGAACATTCTGTATATTTTTTATTTTTGAATACCTACGCAATAAAAAAAATTTTGGTTCGGCCGATCAGGTGTAGGTAGTTTTCTATAAAAGAGTCCGCCATTTTTATTTATTATTTATTATTATCCCTCTCTTGTTTTGGGCCCTCAACAGGCATGCGCCCAATTACAGAGTGACCCGCATAACGCTATTTAGGGGTGCCTCTGCAGAAGGTCTTAAGTTGGTCTATACTACTCCGGTATTTATCTTACGAATTAGGAAAACTGCAGGAAAACCTAATTCGGAGTAGCCGGTAGAATGCTCGGAACTGGTCTAAGGTAATTTCCATCTCCGCCACAGATGAAAAATTCACCTGTTCCAATATGGCGGAATTGGCTGATTGACGAACTTGACCGAGATATTTATGAGTTACACCAATCTTCTTTAGCTGAAATGGTTACTACAAAAGGGATTCTTTGAAGCTTGTACTGTAGTGCACAATGACAACAACGGAAATAATAAATTAAGTATCATTATTGATAAAAGGCATTAAGGTAACATGGAAAATATCAAAGAAAGACGTTTACAAGGATGCATCTCTTTATTTAAATTGCTTTTTTAAGGAATGGTCTAAAATATTAAAATTCATTTTATATGTTTTATATTTATATGGTCATCTCTTTTACTAAGATCAAATCAATTTATGATCAATAATTCGAAATTGAAACATTAATAATTTACACATCAATCGCAACCTAATTTTGTTTTACATTGACAAATTTACCTAATTGTGAATGACCTCCGAATTTGGTTCCCTTTTAATGGAATACGATTTGATTCCGCAAACTAAAAGTCTGAAAAGACTGGTCACAAATTCAGGGGTTTCTTTCGATAAGAATACAAATAGACAAAACAATAATTTTCAACAACTTTATGATCTCTCATTTACAGTTTAATTGGCAATAGCAAGTAATAGGTCAAAAATTTCCTTTATCTCGCGGATCGTAAAGCTGTCGATTTAAATTTACAAAAATCATGCAATTTTATAACGAACGATTTTTCCTTGATGTGGAAACCTGGAGTTGGTTACAAGTAATCGGTTGACTCAATACTTTGGGGTAGTTTGCAGGCAACTTCTTGGATGCTATCCTACACCCGACGATATGAAATGATCTCCAACAACAGCTCTTGGAAATGGACGTCTTTGAATATGACCGATGTTGAAATGCAGGTTTTGGTTGATAATTCTCTTGGTCAGTACAAATTTGGTTGGCAAATGAAACGAGCATTGGCATAATCTCGATTTTATGGCGTTATTCTTAAATTTGGTTTGATGTTTAGGAAATCTTTCACATTGATTAATTTTAACTTTGGCGGCAGAAAAATATTATCTTACTTTGCTACCAGATTTCTTTCTCACAATTTCGCTTTACACGGGATGAGCATATTCGCTCTTTGCCAGCAATTACGTAAACTGTAAAGTAAAAGCGCGCAAATATTACAATTTATATGCAACAATAGCGCCATAAATTCGTCAGTTTACAAAGCGGGTTGGTCCTATTGTTAAGGGGTAAGTGAATTATAAAAGTGAATGCAAGAGAAGAAGTTTAGTGCCAAAATTCTTTTCCCAAAAATAGCAACATGATAATAAATTTACTTAGAAGAGGTACTGCGGTAATAGTCGAAACGTAAAACTCCCTATTTGAATAATCTAGCTCCTTGTTTTATCACGCCTGCGACGTATTATTAACCAGCTTGCGTTGTTGCGGGGCCGCTTTAAGTTTGTCTTTTTAGAAAAATTCTACCAAGCAGTATAGACATCCCAGGGTCGAAAACCACTACCTACGTGAAGTCTTCCAGAGAGCAGACCGGTGGAGATTAGAAACGAGTTAAAAGCTCCATCCGCCAGAGATCAGCGACTTGCTGCGATTGCAACAATTAACAGGTAGGTACCTAACAATTGCGTTTGATTGCGAAATAGAGTGAACTAATTAACTTATCTATTTGCGTGCGTCATATCGAACGTTTATTAGATTTAGATTTGTCCAGGTGACTACTGTAATTGTTTATTAGGTTAAAATATTTGATATTTCAATTAGAATTAGGCAAGCGCTCGTTTAGAGTGGAGACATCGAGCGACACGGCCACTCCCTGTTGACGAGTATTATTATCAATCCAGTAATTGGATTGTAAAACAACAAAGAAAGCGTTGAAACGTCGCTCCAGCACGGATTAGAATTATTACCTATCCACGTACCACAATCGTTTCCGCAATTTTGATCAATTCTTAACAGTTGGTCCATTTGAATATAATATAAGATGGGAAATGATTTTTTTGGGGAAGGTTTTGTGTTTATTTTAACTACTCTATTCTACGTCAACTCCATTTTGAGTTCATCACATTCGGTTGGGAGAATTTTGCATATGGACTGTTCTTACGGAAACTGCAATAAAAGAAGCATCCAGGGGACAAAACAAGGAATTCATCACGTCACTCGGATGAATTATCCCCGATGATGAGTTGCTTTGTGCTTTTTGCTAATGGTTTAAAAACTTGGTCCAGAAAAATACAAAAATACGAGTTTATAAAATCAAGTATATTATAGTCCCATTATAAATTATACAACAACAATAAATACACAAACACATAGCAATAAAAATATTGAAATTGTCCAACTGAATGGCCGCATTTCCGATTTTTCGTCAATAATATAGAGCAGATCCCTAATTGCTTCCCTAGAGTAACCGCTCTGGTATGTTGAAGATCAAAATAGTCCCGTCGAATCGGAAATTATTTACCCTCAGGAGCAAATTCAATGTTCTGACGTTTTTTTAGCTTTGTACGAAAACGGCGTCCCTTTCCGTTTTTACCATTATAACCATTTGTTCGCTCCCTATTGTCCTGACGAGTATTCTCTTTTCCTTCCGGTCCCTTTTGAACAGTAACCTACAAATGATGCATTAACATTTCTAGTTATAAACGAAAGGTGGTGTTTCTACTTTTTCATTTTGGTCCAATGGGGAATTTGCCATGGTGATAGTGCGTAGAACGTTTCCCACCGCTTTAGTGCGACCCTCGCGAAAAACTACTCTCTGTCCAGGTACGATATATTCTGGTTGCTTAATGAAACGGAAACGTACAATAGCTTTGTCTCCCGTCCGAAGACACTCTTCCGACATGTGTACAATTTTGGCAGTTTGTCGTATACTTCCACAGTGCACTACGGAGAGGTGAAAACATTCCATGTAGCTATTATAGTATATCATACCCATCACTTGATAACGTATGCCTATTGTTGTTGGGTGATGTAAAACCAAAATCTCGCTGTCAAACTCCCAACATGCCTGTGGACTTAATGTGGGCGAAACCATCACCATCCCCTTACGAAGTTCCGATTTTTTGATCTGGAAAATAGATTCAGTATGCTAATTCGTTTGAAATTATTCCTACCTTCTTCAAAGAGAAACTTGCAGTTTGCCCCGCGCGGACCTCTTCAACTGGCAAACGGTTCCTTTGGATACTTTTAACGGAAACGTTTTGAAAACGACCTAGTGGATCTGGTCCCAATGCTAAAGTGTCATTAACTCGAATCACCCCTTTCATCGCGGTGCCACCCACGGCAGTGCCCACGCCCTACAAGTTGCATTAATTATTGTCAGAATCGAGCCATAGCTTAATACTGACTGGAACTGAGAAGATTTCGTCAATTTGAAATTCCGCAGGATCATTTTCGTAATTAGTTTCAACCCTGGTGTTTAATAGATTCAGAAATGTTTTTAGTAAGTCCAAATTCTCCCCCGTAACATTTGAAACTTGAAATATTGGGCATAACCTAAGAATGTTAGTGGTTTTGACCGCAACTTTTAACCTTTAAAATTTACCTGCCGGAGACAAAGTTGCTAGCGCACATAACGACATCGTCTGGTGTTTTTACAGAGACCGGCAACTTTCGACAGCCGGCCGATTTTAAAATGCGCCCCAGCATTTTCATGTTGTCTTGTAAAACGTTAGGCGGGGTCATGTCGATTTTCGTAACCACTACGAATATTGGAACGGAAAGGGCTAAGGCTAGTCCCAAGTGCTCCTTGGCCATGCCGATCATGCCAGCATTTGCGCCCATCTTAATCAAGCACGTCGTGTTTTTATCGAAAATTAGTTTAAGTACTTACTATTAGCATTACAAAATCCGCAGCATAACCAGTCATTCCAACCACGGTAGTTTTCAAGTACCGTTCATGTCCAGCCAGATCAATAAATTTGACCACTTTGGCGCTTCTCTGGCAGATTTTCGCAGTGTCCAAAGTTCCATGCTCAAGTTGGTTTAGAACATTTCCCTCACCGTCGAAACCCAAAATGTCTATTGCAACGGAACTTGTCCGTCCCGATTCCGCTTCGTGTTTGTGCCTGAACAGCTTTTGACGTGCGAGACCTCTGCCGTTGTCCAACTGTCCGTGAGTTAGAACGCTCAGCAAGGTAGACTTTCCCGCATCGACATTTCCAACGACGGCCACGCGCACTTCCATGAAATCTAGAAAGGAACGATTAAATTTACGAAAACTCACTTCGGCGTGATTACCAGTTTGATCCATTAGTCTTCTGATGTGAAACTGCAGGCGACCTTTCCGCTCGCTTAAGAAGACACAGCTGCATTCCAAACTGGCGGCCAGAGACTGCAAAGTTGCAATTGCCGCTTCCTTTTCTCCACCACTGTCAACAAAATCACCAATCTACACGATTTGAATGTCCATCAAAATCATTTAATATCAAACTTACCTCGACAATAGCTTCTCCCCTGCCCTCATCCACTTGTTGTTTCAAACTTTTTCTCTGCATCTCGTACAGTTTTTGGTTTGGACTAACCAACGCCAATTTTCCAAACAATTCGCCAGTAGACTTCATCATCTCTTCGCGCTGTATTTCTTTTTTCATTATATTTAAACACTAGATCACTTGTTTCACTCATAAGGCTTGCTAGAGTAACTTGAATCCATTGTGAAAACGCGGCTTTTTATAGCATAATTTAGAACACGAAAGTTCTCTATTCATTGTGCAATTTCTCGATTCCAATGCGCTCGCACCTCGCGCTGAACGTGGTAGGCTTTCTATTGGCACAGATTTAAACTATTTAAACGTGCTATTGGATAGTGAAACTGATGCAAACCAATCAAATTATTGTACCTATTGCATCATTTCATTTTACGTTCAGTTTTGTTTGAATCTTTATGAAATTTAGTTGCTGAGCTCTATAGTTTTAGTACGATATAAGTCAAAACCTATTTTTAATCTCAATCGTATACTTTGGAAAAGATGATATAGTTTGGATTCAAAAAATGAACGTAGGTAAGTAAATTAAATTAGAAGGCCTGTGTGTAAATATTTTGGTAGCGAGATATAATAAAATTACCTATAGATAACCATAGATAAAACCTCTAGCAACTAATGAACTCAAATGAACCCAATTACGTATACTTTATACATATTCGATTCATTAAAATACGCATCTATACCCGCAATTCTTAAAAATAAATCTGATTTGATCAAAGAGTCTGATCACAGATTTATGGCTTGGAAAAGTACGTATAGATACGAATGCGCCTCATAATGGCTTCGCATTTTCCGACATTACCTACTTAAATTTTGCCACTTCCACTTTTATGCCAATATGACACTCACATGTACCTTTCATTTCCATCAATCGATTCCCAAGATACAAAAGTCTCTGTAATATCTTAACAATTTGGTCTACAACCTACATAAATTAATAATGCAATCGGAAGCTCTCCACATACCAGTCGCTTCCAAGAGCTTTATGGCATTTTTGCAGAAATTTTGTTACTTTCAGAACACTGTCAAACCCCTTTGTGAGACTTTTAAGGCATAGCTCTGGTAAAGATCTCCAAAGTCAATGAGGGCTTAAAGAGCTTAAAAGGAATCTCTGAAAAGCTCTTAAAGGGCTGTGAAATGTGATAGAGAAACCCTGTAAACTTTCCAAAATGGTTTTCAGAGTTTTATTTTCTTTCTAGACACTTTCGCTCCCAAAGCCTGTTATACACATTACAGAGCTTTCTTGGCCATTTATTATTTTATTAATTTTAATTTGACGCGATAGTTGATTTTATTAAAAAAGATTTAACTTTTCAATTAAGTTATGGGTGACTAACGAAAACTAAGTCGCGCCGACGCCAATTTCTACATGTTATCGCTTCATATAACGATTTGTCACGCATTTAGTTGGCAGAAGTTTCAGTGGTGCAGTTCATTGTAGTGTTGTTCCAATGGTAAATGGTATAAATGGTAATGGTCCTTCCTTTTTGGAGAGACTGAACTAATAAGGTTTTTATTATTGTTTAATTGGGATGCATTGTACACTCATTAAAAATTTAAAACCCAAAAAGTCACTACTAAATAAACATTCTGGTAAATTACGAAAATTGTGAGACTATAACCCCTATTTAAATAGATGATTTGAGCGACGTAAAAACCCAAAAGTAGGTACCTAATTATTTGACCATGATTAAATTACAACCCCATCGTTAGGTACCTATAATTGCGATTCTATATTTTCCTTCATTACCAAAATCTTTTTAATATTTGTGTCATTTGTGTGTACTGTGTAGTCATCCAACAGATATTTTTACTGCCATTATGCTTCTTACAAATTTTGCTTAAAATTAAGAGAAGAATTGAAATACCTATCGAATAATGTAGGTACGGGGTGTTCCATTTAAAAAAATTCAATTTTGGTGGGCCACGCCTTTATGACCAACCCCGTATAAGTAAAATTATTACTGCCTAGTAGACATTGAAGAGCTCTAAAACTGTTGTATAAAGCCGTTTTCGATACATTATATATTTCCCCCGATAATTGAACGTTTCCAAACTTATCAGAGTTTATCTTTAAAACTCGATACCTAACCCGGAAACGACTGAATTTTGGTACATTATGCTTCCTACAAATTTTATTTAAAAATATCGAATAACGTCAAGGGTGTTCTATTAAAAAATGCAATTTTAATGTAGCCATACCCAGGAGCTATATTTTTGTTTACACATTTATTAACGAGCTCCTAGCGAGTTTATAATTTTGCGGTGTCTGTCCGTCCATCCGTCCGTTAGCACGATATTTCAAAGACGAATGGACCGATTACGATGAAATTTTGCATGTGGATTCTTTATCAAATTTGCAGATCGGAGTTCGTGAATTGGCAATGTAGACCAAACAATAAGGGACGCCCTTTTGACATCTCTGTTAGTTATGAAAATTGCATGAAATTCAAAATCAGCATAGCTTTAAGCATATAATAGTCCAGTCAAATTAGACAAAATAAGGGCCAAACCCGGAAATTTGAAAAAACAAGCTGAAAATTGGCATACATGTTCAGGATAGTGCCAGAACCAATTTCCGAAAAGTCCCAAAAGATCCCGGTTGGGGAACGGACGCCATCTTGAAAAAACTACCCCTAAACTCGATTTTGAGCAAAACTAATGAACCAATGGTCTGATTCTTGTTGCTAAGGTGTCAAAATGTTTGTTTTAATGTGTATTTGGAGTAAAAACATAATTCGGCACATAAAGAAGGAAATTCGAACTTTTTAGGAAAATCACCCCCAACCTGGATTTTTCACGTTTTCGGCATTTATTGTTTTGTTTGCGTAATCCTAGGATTGGTTGGACGAAGTCCTCCACCTTTTCCTATCCTGGCTAATCTTTTCAGTTCTACATAACTACCCTTGCCTACGTCCCTAACTATTTGGTCTATGTGTTTAAGTATCTGTGGTCCTTACTTGTCCTCTCTGGTCCGGTCTTGCCCTCTGTCCTACCCCTTCTATAGCTAGTAGTGCTATTTCCTCCGTGTCTTAGCACGTTCGTTATCATTGTATCTCGTCTTCTCTGTACGGTTTTCAACATTTCCCTATTTCCTGTACTAGCTCCAAGACTGCTTCGTTTGTTACCCTATCCATCCAGCTAATCCTCATTCTATCCTACTTTTGTCCGCCTATCGTCCAGGTTTCGCACCTGTATGACCTACACTCCATTTGTACGTTTTTTAGCAATCTTTTCCTAATTCCTATATTTATCTCGGATCTTAGCAGGTCCTACTTTTATTCCAATGCTTTTTTAGCCTGCGCTATCCTGGATTTTATATCTTCCTTGCAACGATTATCTTGGGTAACCTTATTACCTAAATAGCAAAAGGAACGGTTATCTTAGAAAGTGTTCATTTATGTAATACAGAAACTGGTTTCCTCATCGGCAGCTAAAGGGGCGCTAGAAGATCACCTTCTGTTTCCAATTCCTAAAAGAAATAAATAAATCTGGAAGCTACGGTTTCTTAGTAACGAATGTGCGAATAGTTGAAAGGATTCCGCTTATTTACATTAATTGTAAAATGCATTTAAATATTTTTTACGTGCAACTTAACCTGACTGCAAATAATAATGAAAAATATAATGAATAAAATAGTGTTCATTTAGTTAGTACTCTCAATCTTGTTCTGAACTCTGAAGGTTTTTTTTAAGAAAAATTTTGACATTCAGATAGAGAACGTCAAGAAGAACGATTAGAAACATCAATACTAATTATCCGAAGCTTTATTTAACAACAATAGCCGGAAAAGAGAGAAACTCATGATGGGGGTGGTTTTGTACTTAAAAAGGTCACATTTGCAAGGGCATCGTATTATACGAAATAATTATTTCATTCAAAACAAACATCAAAACAACCATTTTGACACCTTGACGACGAAATTTGGACCATCCGTTCATTTGTTATGCTCAAAAATCGGAAAATCAAATTTAGGGGTAGTTTTTTCAAGATGGCGTCCGTTCCCCAACCGGGATCTTTTGGGACTATTCAGGATTTAGTTCTAGCATCATCCTCACCAAGTATGCCAATTTTCAGCTTGTTTTTTCAAATTTCTGGGTCAATGTCTACTTTTACTGGACTATAATACGTATTGCTAAGCCAAGCCATACCCATGAGCTCGTTTGCTATATTTATTTAATTTATTAATTATAGCATTCTAGCCCTTTTACATATACGTGACTGTTATATACAATGGATATAACGCGCAAGAATGTACAGTAATGTATATCATAAGGACGTCTAATGTATATCATGTGCGTATGTGCGGGCATATAGTGGATGTGTATGGATATCCATTGCACATACTAGCTGTACTTAGGTGTTTTCCAAACTGTTTAAAAAAACTGCGTGGATTATCCGAAAATGTATGTCACCTAAAATTTCTGTCGGATAGGTACTGATTTTTATAAGCTGTTCGTTCTTCCGTCCGTCTGTGACCCTATATGATAAATAGCGAACAGTTTTGAATTTTCCGATTCAGTTTTCAGTAATATAGGTAATATAATGGTCAAGGGACTATAATAGATTAAATTTTGGTAATTTTGACCTTTTGTCCGATCCGTCTGTGTTTGTCGCTCGTTGTCCATAAATATTGGTTTGAAACAATTTATTATTGTTTGCAGTACCAAAGATTCGTCTTTCCAAGCGAAGAGATTAACCCAGAGGTGGATGGGGCCGGCGGGATATCGGGGAGTTTCCCGGCCCGTATCCGTGAGCGCTTTGCGGTTGGTAGCATCATTCAAAAATGAAAACCCAAAAACAAAGAGGATACAGAAGACGATAAGCCGCCACTTGTAAGAGATTTAATTTAATTAATTTTCTAAGTGATGAAATAACTAATAAACTGTTTCAAACCAATAACAGACGGACGGTCAGAAAAGATTCCGACCAAAATTTAATCAGTTAGTCCATTGGCCGTTCGCGCGAGTTACCGTGTAGGTACACAGACGGATGGACAGAAAGTTAAAAAAACGTACTCTTACATCAAGCTATTATTCCCTATTTATACCTAAAAATGTAAAGGATTTCCTTCAAAGGTAGGTAATAGTAAGGTAAAAGTAAAAGGTAGAGCTGACAAGCAGGTTGAAAGAAAAGGTTTTGCTTTATTAACGAGCTCCTATAGCGAGTAGCGAGTTTATAATTTTGAGGTGCTGTCCGTCTGTCCGTTAGCACGATATCCCCAAAACGAAGGGGCCGATTGCGATGACATTTTTCATGTGGATTCTATATCAAATTTGTAGATCGGAGTTTATAAATTGGCAATGCATGTAGGGGAAAAAAATAAGGAACGTCCTTTTGACATCTCCGTTAGTTATGAACCGCGATTTGCATGAAATTCAATATGAGTTTAGCCAAATAAATCGCAATGCCAAAAGTTGCGAGTCTAATCGATTCAACGTTCACAGTGCCCTTCTCGCATCTCGACCATTTATGAACCGAATTACAAACTTTTTTTATTTATGAAGGTATTTAAATTAAAATAAGTAGGCACTGGGATAAAAGCAAATCTAACGCCGGTTTAAAAATTTTGTTTTGCACATGTGCAGAGCCAACTTTCTTATTTATGGAAGCATTTAAATGAAATTTGATACATATGCACTTGGAATAAAAGCAAATCTGCTAAAATTCACAAAAAAATCAATTACTCCTATTGTGGAAATACCCTGCTTCAATGACACAACTAAGTACAACACGTCTGTAATAATTTTCATCTCCTGGCATTTTTCTATTTCCCAATATGAATTGATTGATTGATTGTGGGCGGAAATTGGTCATTATGACTGATGCAAACAAATGAATAGTGGTAGGTACATATATTGTACCCTCTTCTAGGAAACAGCAATTCATCTGATCTAGTGACAGTCTAGTTAAGATAAAAACAAATGGCTTTTTTTCTTTAAATTATTCGATAAATAATTGTTATTTATTATAGGTATACAAGACGATAAAGGGATGTTTTAACCATCGAATGAAAGATGTTTCACGAGATGGTTAGTTTCCACTTATCGTCGTCCATAACAGAAAACATTACTTTATAGCATCAGAAGCCATAGAAATGATTATAAAATAAAAATTCTGTAGTTATTTAATTTAGACGTCCAAAATAGCAAACTTAGGATTTCCCGTAGTTTCCATGGCAACGCAATATTGTATTCTGTTACGAACTTCATTTTATTTTGTGCTACGCGTCCCATTTTTTTAGGAAATGTAGACGTAATTGGAATGACACAATGTTTGTTTCATTTTATCTACCCTTACTGTTAAAGAAATAGGTACTTAGCCTACTCATTCAAACCCAACAAAATTTAAATGGAACGTCTGCTATTATGCAGGTTTATTGGTAATATCTTTCTATATTGCACCCCACCAAACGCCGAATCTTTTATTAAACGTAAACCTTTGGAAGCAGCAAAATTGCAGAACTTATCCCTAACGTGGAGTAGGTATAGTCGCTTTTCGTACGCGTACGTGCACCATATCGCACCGGCATAGAGGCCACGGGGGAGTGGGGTTTTAAGAAAATCTCGAAAACTAAACACCTTTGCTCTGCAATTGCATGTATACAAATAAAGAAAATCAACAAAAGCTTCTTTGGACTAGATGCACATTTTCTGATAAGTATCTATAAATCCTTCAGTTTTTAAGCAAATGCCACTTTTTATGAATTTAAAAAAAGTGAGACCTTTCCTTACGAGCAACCCCTTTTGCTTCTACCATATAGGTACCTACCCTTTCCCTCTTGAGTAAAATATGGGAAGTATAAATGTTATGATTTTTGCAAGTAAAAGGAAATCCTTTTTCTTATAAAGCCTAATGCAATTTTGATTTAAAATATATTTTTTAATGAAACGCTGTTCCCCCTCCCCCCCTATATTTCATGGGATGGTTTATGGTTCCCATTCACCCCTGGAGGTACTTACAGCAAGCATATTAGGGTACCTAATTGCAACTTTACAAAGGTTTCACCTTTTCGTCATCTCTATAACTGGATTAATATTTTCAGTCCTTAACATTTTTGGCATCAGTTTTCCTCGTAATTAAGACTTTTTTAAAATGGATTTTAGATATAAAAAATGAAATCCAAGCCTTGAAATGAACAACGTAAAGAGATAATCCAATACATTTACAAATTAAGTAAAACCCTTTTGTAAAATTACAAATAAGTCCTTTCAAAGGAAACAAGTCTTTGTGCAGGGTGAAAAAGGTGAAGAACTTAATAATATCATTTTTGTTAGGGGTTGGAGAGCTTTCAGAATTAAAATCAGTTCTCTAAATGCTTCTATAATTAGGTTGTTATAAATCATATGAAAAATACCTATAGCTTTTTTTTAATTTATTGATTTATTATTGTACAAATGTAATATTTTAAACTAAATCTTAATTAATAATATGTTGAAAGACTCCTTGACGAATTAAATCTTCACACTCGGCTCTCGGCAAAAAATATCTATTACTCTCTTTCAAAAGAACCAAAGAACCATCGCTTAACTCGTACTGTCCATAATCGACTAAACACTTCACTTCAATATATAACGCCTTAGGAGGATTCAAATCGATAGTTAAATTCACCCCGCCATCATCACCAATTGACCGCATATACGTCGCCAGCATCGACGAATATTTACTAAACCAATTCGATTCGGCATGACTTAAGTTTACTTTAATATCGGGAGGTAATATACTCCCAAATTCCCATCTCATTGTTCGCAAACATCTCAGTCTGTTGTAATGGTAGGCGAGCAGACATCGTAGGTTGCGTTGTATAATTGCGTGGCGTGTGCGAATTGTGGCTGTGTAATCGAGACCGGCACCTACATTGCTATCCTCGTGCGCCTTACTGAAACAACAATGGTAATTGCGCATTATTGCCGCAGCGATACTTACAAATCATCCGCTACGTTCTGTTGAATTAAATGGCAGATTTCTTTCTCGACTTCGCCGATAAGTTCGTTCTAAAATCAAAAGTGTCTCAAAGGAATCTGGAAGAATTCGGAGGTCTTACGTTGTAAGGAGGTAAAGTGCCACGATTTCGATCCAATTCTTTTACTAACGAGCAAGCACTCTCACCATACATGTTTTCTGGTTGTAAAGAATTTCTTCAGATTTGGGGGTTATGGCGGGAATTCTCATTGCTGTGGCTGTGAAGACGGTCACTTTAAATTAAGTACGTTGTGTTGTCACGTTCACTAATTTTTTGAACGTGGTCCAGTATTTTAAAATTACGCCTACGCCGTGGATGGAAAGGTACACGATTTCATGTAGTCATAGATACTTAAATTTGGGAAATTATTGTTTTGTTTTGTTGTTTACCAGTAATAAATACACAACGAGATGGAAATAAATTTGGGTACTGCAAATTAAGGTTCGCCCTGTACTACATTTTTGATTTTTACAACTTACAACTGACAACACTGTAATGAAAATGAGGTTATGTTAAAATTCCAAAATGTTATCAAATATTCTACCAAAGTTAAAAACTAGCAACTATTTCAAGCCTTTCTGTACTGCAATCACAAGTGAGGGCAACTCAAAAATAGAGCCACGTGCATTGCAATTCCCTCCGAAATACCAAAAGCCCCGGCAAGTGTGGTTGGAAAATCTAGACACAATAGATGAAAGAAAGCTAAGTCTGCTAGACCTGCACCCCGATATATTTGCCTCTAACCCTCGAATTGATATAATTTTCCAAAACGTTCGGTGGCAAAGTTTATATCGCTTCGTTAGCTTTGCTCATACAAAGGTACGATCGGAGGTAAGGGGTGGAGGACGAAAACCATGGCCTCAGAAAGGTTTGTGCTTCATTATTGGAACTCCCGTTTACATACTGTTAATAGGCTTAGGTCGAGCTCGTCACGGTTCAATTCGGAGTCCTTTATTTAAAGGAGGGGGTGTGGCACATGGACCAAGATCGCCAACACCACACTTCTACATGCTACCATTCTATACTAGAATATTAGGCTTAACGAGTATGCTGTCTGTTAAATTAGCTCAGGATGATTTACACGTCGTTGACAATTTGGAGATACCAACAGATGAACCGGAATTTATACAGGAATTGGTTAAAACGCGGAACTGGGGGCCATCAGTGCTATTCATCAACGAGTATGCTAAGTGAAACTGGAATCCTATAATTAACACATTTCGTTGCAGAGTCGATATTATGCCAAGGAATATCACTATAGCCACTGACGAAATTAAACACATGAATTTAATGCCGGTTTACGGTCTAAATGTTTACTCCATGTTGAAACACGACACACTTGTACTTACTAAAACTGCCGTGGATGTAATTGAATCGAAACTTCTAACACATCTTCATCGAAATGTGTTTTATAACAAATTGGGCAAGTATAAAGTTGATCAAGTGTAGAATCGCGTTAGTTCTAAATATAGGAAGGTTTAATTAAAATGCTTATTTTATTGTCCTAATAATCTACACAATGTGCACGTCACAAAAAAGTACAAAAATTAATCACATGGACAAGTCGATCTTGCAGAATGTTTTTTAGAGACTGTCTCTAATGATGACGAAGATACGAGCTGAAAATAGTCACAATCAGTTAGATTAACGTCAATGTGTACATACTTCAGGTTGTCCTAAAAGACGTTCGCGGATGGACCATCGTAAATCTGCATGATCACTCTCACCCGGTATGCTGTACTTCTTCCATTGCTCTTGGTATTTGTGATACAACGTTACGGGATCGCATTTCGTAATTTTGGGAGGAGCGCGTGGGTGAATGACTGCAAGGACGTTTTTAACAAGTGACATTACTGGATGCTACCAACCTGTTTTTCGTTTATACTTTACAGGATTTTTGGGCTTACAGAAAGATTCGCACGATTTCGCTCGTGAAGGTGGATTCACGATATCATCAATCCTCAAAATATCAGGTGCGCTTGATCCGTGCGTCTTGTATAATACACAATGTGATCCGCAAGGGGATAAATTGCTACACGGTCCCGAGGTCCTTGTCGAGTTTTTACCACTACATATCGTACTGTTCCCATCGGCTGAGCAGTGTGGCAGTGGACGATTGACTTCCAATAAAACCTTACCCCGACCCAGTTCTCTCTGTTTGGTTAACCAACTTTTAGTAGGTAGAGCATAATGAGTCGTTTCGCTATTACAAGGGCATGGAGGTTCGTTTTCTTTTTCCTTGGATTTACTTTCATATTTAATAAGCCGTTTTAAATCTAATGACACAACCTAAATAAAAGGTAAATAACAATAATACTATACCTTGTAGAAAAACTTTTAATTGTTCTCGAGTAATGTTATGAAAACCCAATTCGTTTAGATGTTCCAAAACTTCGCGAGGATTTATTAAGGCCATTACGTTACAACACAAGGAAAAGATCGTTAAAATCAAAATTGAAAAACGCAAAAATCAAATTTATTACAGTTGGTAAAAAAATTGGGCGCATTCATATCACGCTTTGGAGCACATTCTGTCTTCTTGAAGAATTTGGCAACACTGCATGGTGGCACCTACGTGAAGAGATCCAAACGTATCGACTCAGCAACTCACACGAATGACCAATTCTCTAGGGCTAGACAGTAGAACGATAAGCACATCGTTTGGACAGTCTAGTAATTTTTAACGACCTAACCTCACAATTTTGCATTGGTTACGTATTAGCAACCTTTTACAAATCTTACACTGCACAAATGTTGCTTTTTAGTTTTGTGGAACCTTTGAAAATTTCACAAACACTTTAAAGGTCAATCTACATAAACGTCTGCACCAACTACATATAGCGTCGCTCTTTACCATCGAAAACAATCTGTTCTCAGGAGATCAACACGTAGAGAACTGCGGGGCATTGATAAAAGTACGGCTGATCCAACAGATCGTCAAAGGGTATACGGAAATTACAAGGACCACACTGCATGCTCTCTATAACTGAATCGTTTTGTGTTCTTTCTTCCGCAGATGAAACTGCAGATTTGTAATTTCACAAATTTTATTAATTATGGCAACACCGCTTTACGTAACGATAAATGAGGCAACAGAACTACTTGCTTAACTAAGAACTACCAAATTATCAAAATCCCAAAAACATTGAGGTTACGTTGATGCAATATCAATAATTTTATTTATTTTCAGTACCTTTGTAGACAGGTAAAACTAAGATTAAAATTCAGACGAAAAAATGATCCTGTGCAACAAATAGAACGGCACTTTGGGTGTGTCATTTGTGAGTTGAGACAGTGAAGACCTTACGGAAGCCTTAAAAGGTTTCGTGTGAAAAATGGATAAATATGAAGTCGTAGGCCTATTAGGTGAAGGTTCTTTTGGACGCGTTTACAAAGCGACCAAAGCTGGAACATCGAGTGTTGTCGCCCTAAAAGTTATTACAAAGGTAACAATCCCTCAACAGGACTACTTTTAATTTGTGATTATAGCGAGGGAAATCTTTGAAAGAAATAAAGGGTTTGCGACAAGAATGCGAAATACAAAGAGGCCTGCATCATCCCAACATAATACAGATGCTAGATTCCTTCGAGACCGACAACGAGGTACTTAAACTTGAACGACTAGTTTCTTCAACGTTTATTTGCAGATTGTGGTAATTACGGAGTTTGCGCATAAGGAGCTGACTGTAGTTTTAAGTAAAGAAGGGTATTTACCGGAAGAGCGTGCGCAAAGAATTGTGTGGGATTTGGTGTCGGCACTGTATTATCTACACTCGCATCGAGTTTTACACAGGTAAATGCATGTAAATCGCCTGTGAGGATATCACAAAGATAATGGTTTCAGAGACTTAAAGCCGCAGAATATTTTGCTTGATCAAAAAAATAATGCAAAATTATGCGATTTTGGGTTCGCACGTAATATGAGCACTGGTACTCATGTTCTGACTTCGATTAAAGGTTGGTTATTTGTGCAGTTAGTAATTGACATGTTACGAGTTGAAACTTCAGGAACACCCCTGTATATGGCACCGGAGCTTGTGGAGGAACATCCGTACGATCATAATGCAGACCTTTGGTCGCTGGGCTGCATTATTTACGAGTTATTGGTTGGAACGCCTCCATTCTGTACCACGTCTCTTTTGCATCTGATTAAAATGATTAGACATGACCAAGTGCAGTTTCCTAGTTTCCTTTCGGAACTTTGTATATCTTTTCTCAAGGTTTGTATAGATGATTATGTGCATAGTTGGAAGTAAGTGTACCTACTGGCAATGTTCATTATGTACCTATGGCAGTAAACGAGCTCGGTTAATTTCTAACAGTTAGAATCCTAAAAATACAGAAAATCTTAGCATCTGACCATTCTAGTACGTTAGGGAATCCTAAAAACGTGAGCCACAAGAATCCTAAGAGTCCTATTAATCCTAATCTTTCAGGGAAATCTGAGAATCCAGTGAATACTGAAAATCCTGAGTCTCCCAGGGAATCTGCAAATCCTAAGGATCCTTCTCGTTCCGCTAAGAATCCTGAAAGTCCATATGTATTCTGAGAATCGGTGGTGGTTTTAGGCAATTAGACTGTGCCTCAGTTCGTAAATTCCAGTCTTTGAACTTGTCATGTAATTCAATTAACCACCACAATCCCATTTATTATAAGTACTAACCACCATATTATTGAAACGTTTTCATATTAAATGAAGTAAAATAAATGTAGTATTGAAACGTTTTCATATTAAATGACAAAATAAATGTAGAAATAAAAATGGTAAAAGTGTCAACTTCTCTATGTCTGCATGTGAGTCATATTCTAACTGTATATGAAACCCTTTCATATGCTCTTGAGACTCCGAATTTCGCAAAAGAGCCTTAATTCATGTGCAAAGGGATTGAATTCATTTTTTACTTTGCATTTCGAGTTTTAGGCCTTGAAAAGGCTTTGCTTCCAAGGAATGATTCCCCTTAAAAGGGCATATAAATGTGTATAATGTATACTGCAGTGTGCCCCACGCTGACCGCTAAAAATTAATGCTACGTGCCCCACGTTGGGCGCCAATGCTGTATGCGATGCCGAAGTATCAATTAACAATTAACATGAAACTCTTAAAATCCAGGATCGTAATTTGGATTGAAACTATTAGTTACTATAACTATTAGGTACTTAACGCTTATTGTTCTGTTTTAAAGTTAAATTATCAGTGTTCCAATATTAATAAGAGAGTCGATATGCTGATATAATTCGCATAAGAAGAACACTTGTGCCAAGTTACGTCAATTACGTAATAATATAACACTGTTTGATAGCGATATATGTAGCAAGAAGGCCGTTTGTTTTCGGGTTGATAACATTTACGCGAATAAACCTATCCGTATCGACGCCATTCAAATTAAATTTTATTGTCATAATTAAAGAACTTTTTTTTAAATCTCCGGGTGTAATTGCTAGTTTTGAAAAAAAGCAATTGACCATTGTACTTCTTAGAATTAAGGCTAAGCGTTGTAACAGGTGGTCGCCTTTTAAAAAATTTGGTTTCAAATTTGCATTTTGGGTAGACGCGGGGAATTTATTAATTTACACATGTACCGCTTCATAGTGAACAGGGCCGAAAGTATGTCAGGAAATAAAAAGCGATAGCAAGGTGAGCAATTTTAGATGAGCAACGTGTGATTGTAGACGGCAGACAAGGTTACACTGTTCTAGAGTTACCACGTACTCTTAGAGCGTGAGAATTTTATTTTCGCGTAATTGCGATATTTTTAAACGAAGTTTCGTAAGCGGTTACGTACCGCGAAATTTTCATGTACTTTTATTGTAGGGTTTACTTCAGAAAGATCCAGGAAAACGTGTAGCATGGCCAGATCTTTTGAAACATCCATTTGTAAAGGGCCACGTCCTGGTTCTTGACGACGTACCATCGAAACCTTTAACAAGGCCGATGTCGATTGATACACTACAAGCGAAGGAGCAGCAGCGTAAGGATTGTTTAAATCAGCGAGCGCTAAAGAAGTAATAAGTGAAGTTTGTTTAATAATCCCTCAAAATTGGGTAATTTTCAGTTCCCCACAATGCCACAAAGTGGTCTCTATGTCCACATCTTCGTTTGATATTGAGAACAACAATTCCAGTTTAGACGAGCAGCTTTCCATGTTGAACATCGATAGCGACATTGGAGCAAGGAGCTGTTTACAATCCAGTGCCAATTCAGACTCTGAAACCCACGTTGACAACGGTGCGCATGTATTTTTCTCACACACTTCCTGGATGCTAATCATTTTTTAGGCCACTTGCATTTCTACGAAAACACGAATCCGATTGAAAACGACGAATGGGTTGTGTTTCTGTTACGTACAATAGAAGAGGTCATTGCAGGCGAGATGACCTCGCTCAGTCAAAAAAGTCTGGCTAGCATTATCATATCGCCTTTATCAAATTCGAATGTCAGCTCAAAAGTCCTCGGTTATGTCGCCAATTTACTATCGTTACCGTTTGTTGTCACGGACACGTCAGAGGGCGCTCTGGAACAGATAAAGAATATATATTTCGATGTTAAAGTCGTGCCAAATTTGGTATACGCGACGAAACTGATGTTTCAATACAAATGCTCGACTAACTTATCAACTTCGTCTACTGCATTTGCAGCGATCGACTCTGAAACACAGCACTTTATAGCCGAATTATCGGATGATGACTCTGAAGCACTACAGCATATTTTTTTGTTGATCTGTCACCTTGTTCATCTTCGATCGGAGTTCTTGAAGCACTTTTGTGATGCCGTAGCTACACTTAATGTATACAATATTTTGCGTGACATGCTATCGTTGTGTAAGTAGACTCAATTTTCCTGTAACTGTTGTTATTAGATACCGTACATGCTAAAACTAATATAAAAAGTGGTGTATTTGTGCGGTGAAAACCGTGAAGGCGTTGGGGCCCAAATTCCAGAACGTTCCATTGTGATATATTTAGAGGGGCTAGTTACGATTAAACAGGTAGTTTGTGATCCAAATTCATGCATCTAAGTTTATATGAAGCGCAAACAAAATTATGAACTAATAAACGGCTACCGCTAAAAAAGTTAAAGACAATTAATTCAAGCCTTTGTTTGCTGTTGAAACCCTAAGTTACGAGGGTACATTTTTTGACATTTACACACTGCGGAACATCGGTAATTTATTAGTTCAACTAATAAAATCACTTAACTATACTTATAATTGAACGCGCACCGGTGGTCTCGGCCATAGAAACGTAGCGCGCCGAGAGGGATTTACTATATTCAAAACATATCAAATAGCGGAGGGCATTTATTAACCCCTTGATTGTTATTATAATTTATTTTTAGCAAAACAGAGAGTGCGATTAGTAATTGACCTATTGGCGATTTTGACACACATCCTTAGAACGTTACCGGATCGTACAGATGTCATTACCAAGATTCTAAATACTGATAACAGCGAGTTTAATGTTGTCCACTTACTTAAGAGCTCAAACCCTTTACTCAGGGAACGAACCTGTTATTTTGTACAAAATTTGGGGAAAAAATGCTCTGAAGTTCTTAAAAGTGAATGGACGGAATCCGTACGTGACATACTTGAGACTTTGATTTACGACTCCATCGAGGATGTTAGAAATGTAAGTTGCACGTTTGTAGATTTTATATAACTTGATTGAGCAGGCAGCCGAAGTGACTGTTCAAGATCTGAAAAAGTTACCATTTTATCAGTGATGAAGTGGTTAGAGCAGCTAGTGGAAACGAATTGTAAATACTTTTGCTGTCGTTACGCTCTGAATTGTGAAGAGTGTAAGCCAGATTGAAGAGATTGTAAAAATAAAGCTTTTTAACATAAAAAAATCCGAAAAATTTTTCTTTCAGGTTCCTTAGGGATAACTTCTCTTTTGGCTTTTAACCTATATCCAGCGTGGTGCCCATCAAAGTGCATGCAAAATAATTGTAAATCACAAGTTTCTTTTAGTAACAAAGACATTCTTGTGACTGTAATAAGTTGAAAAATAAATTAACTTGATCTCATTTGATTATTATGATCCCAAACACCAAAGATGCACAAATAAAAATTGCCAGCGACTTCATTTAGTTCAATTGGCAAGATTTAATTAGTAGAAGTTACTAGTGAATTGCCAGAAGTTTCCTTTCAATTTTCTACATCCGTAGTGTGCAAATTGTGCATCTAGCAGCCACCTTTTCCCCAAGTACGTTGCTCCGTTTTAATTTGAAGCATATTCGATCTTCGCATCAGCTTTGGAATGGTGTCGTCGATTAGGATTGCTAGTGATAAGGTAGGTCTCTTGCCCGATACCATCTAAAAAGTGAAATCGAATTAGAAAAAGATTATATGTAGGTATAATTTGATTAATAGGTAAGTATATAATCCTTATGGGGTAACAAGAAAGAAACAAATTGTCAATTCGAAATCTCTCATCATGTCATCATTCCGGAAAGACAGACAAAATGTACAATTTCAAAGTTTAGTTTAGCTTTCTCAGATCGACCGGGATCGGCCTGTAGAATCCATAATTTCAAACAGTTCTAAGATTGGGCTACTAGTTCAAAAGTTACAGCCCTTTGAATTTTCTTTCGAAATTAGTTTCATAACTTTTGATTGAGAAGTCTAATCGAAAAAGTACAAATCGTTTTGGATTCTACGCACCAAAATTAATAAGAAAAAGTGTTTTCCCGAGTAATTTTGGTTAGTCGATTTTTGGTAAAAAAAGGAAGGTTATACACTGCCTTTTTTTGAGGTCCCCAAAAAAAATTGTCTCAGATCGACCGGGAAAAAACATTTTCTTATAGAATGAGGCCTGTAGAATCCATAATTTCAAACAGTTTCAAGATTGGGCTACTGGATCAAAAGTTACAGCCCTTTGAATTTTCTTTCGAAATTAGTTTCTAGTCTATAACTTTTGATTGAGAAGTTTAATCGAAAAAGTACGAATCGTTTTGGATTCTACGCATCTAAATTAATAAGAAAAAGTGTTTTCCCGAGTAATTTTGGTGTAGTCGATTTTTGGTAAAAAAGGAAGGTTATACACTGCCTTTTTTTGAGGCCCCCAAAAAAAATTGTCTCAGATCGACCGGGAAAAAACATTTTCTTATAGAATGTGGCCTGTAGAATCCATAATTTGAAACAGTTCTAAGATTGGGCTACTAGTTCAAAAGTTACAGCCCTTTGAATTTTCTTCCGAAATTAGTTTCATAACTTTTGATTGAGAAGTCTAATCGATAAAGTACAAATCGTTTTGGATTCTACGCATGAAAATTAATAAAAAAAAGTGTTTTCCCGAGAAATTTTGGTGCAGTCGATTTTTGGTAAAAAAGGAATGTTGTACACTGCCTTTTTTTGAGGCCCCCAAAAAAAATTGTCTCAGATCGACCGGGAAAAAACATTTTCTTATAGAATGTGGCCTGTAGAATCCATAATTTCAAACAGTTTCAAGATTGGGCTACTGGATCAAAAGTTACAGCCCTTTGAATTTACTTTCGAAATTAGTTTCTAGTCTATAACTTTTGATTGAGAAGTTTAATCGAAAAAGTACGAATCGTTTTGAATCGATTGGATCTTATAGAATGTGGCCTGTAGAATCCATAATTTTAAACAGTTCCAAGATTGGGCTACTGGATCAAAAGTTACAGCCCTTTGAATTTTCTTTCGAAATTAGTTTCTAGTCTATAACTTTTGATTGAGAAGTTTAATCGAAAAAGTACGAATCGTTTTGGATTCTACGCATCTAAATTAATAAGAAAAAGTGTTTTCCCGAGTAATTTTGGTGTAGTCGATCATGGTAAAAAAGGAAGGTTATACACTGCCTTTTTTTGAGGCACCAAAAAAACATTGTCTCAGATCGACCGGGAAAAAACATTTTCTTATAGAATGTGGCCTGTAGAATCCATAATTTGAAACAGTTCTAAGATTGGGCTACTAGTTCAAAAGTTACAGCCCTTTGAATTTTCTGTCGAAATTTTAAAAAAAGGAAGGTTATACACTGCCAGTGCAGAATTCGTAGGCAACTTGTGTATCTTCCACACAGCCCTGAAGGATCAACCTCAAGGGAGGCATTGAGCAAAAGGACCAGGCTAACCTAATCGCTCAGTTGGGAGAAGGTTAGTAACCCACCCGAACCTGTGATGGGGAATACGTCAGTACAACACCAGCAGCGCTACTACAGGGGCAACTGCAAGAAGCTACGGAAGCATCACCGCCCAAGCTGACAAGACAACCTGTGGTGAATGCTTCCTCCAGCGTCAGCAACTCACCCGGGCCGATTTCGTACTGGGAGGAGTTTGCGAATATTGAGGCGCTGCTGGAGTTCCATTCTAGCTACGCCGGATAAACGATAGACAGCTATTTCTATATACTAACCGTATGAAAGAGAATGTTATACTAATAAAGCCAGAGGCGGATTTAAAGGGGGGCACTAAGGGCACGGTTTCTGGTCATCGGGGCACACAAGCGACCGTTTCTTTGATACTCTGCAAGAAAAAAAGAAATAACGTGCATTTACTGGCCGTTATATCACGACTACACATACAGTTAAGCTGTGACATACAGGGTAAGTAGTAAAAGCATCAACCTACTACACGAAAACTGTGATTGATCTCAGTCGGGCGTCACCGCGGAGTATCTCTGACCACATAACGAACTCGCAAGTCACTCCAGAAGCGACTATGTCAAATCATAGAATAATTTCGTTTGAAATGAAATGCAAGAGAGCCGTCCAAAAGAGTGATCGCAACTCCCAAGGTAACGGATATTCCCTTTTACAAACATCCCCTTGGAGAAAAACTTAGAGAGAGCCCTGTCGAGGGACGCCTCTCGGGTCCTGCCGACTTACAGGACAAAGTAGATTGTTTTTACCAACTCCATTGTGGAGTCATTTGAACAGGCATGTCCTCTGAAAGAATTCCAAACCGTCTCGGAAATATCAGAGTTAAGAATACAAATAAATGCTACCTTTGGAATGGGCTGTTATAACTAAATCATAAATAATGTTGAAGCGAATTTTATGTTCTTTTAATTTCATTACAAAAATATAGATACACAGTCTGAATTCACTTCCTTAATCCAACTTTCCTAACTCACCTCTGTTTTGAATAAAAATCTTCACCTCCCTTCGTGTACCGACTCTTTACTCATTCTCTACTTCCTCCGCGGTCCTCAGATCACTTACCTTGCCTTCCGTTCTTTACCACTTGCTTTGCTGGACACCATTTCATTCTGTTGCTTCTTCCTTTTTGTACGATACTATCGTTACCTTATTCTTCCCTTCCCTCTTCGTATCCCCCCCTTAATTCCTGCAACGTTCCTCTATCCCCCCCTTAATTCCTGCAACGTTCCTCTCTTCATCCCCAATTTTCATCATTCACGCTTTTCTTGTGATAAGACTTAACCTCCACTCTCACTCCCTCATTCTATTCTTAGTTTACTTCCCTCTTTCCTTTCCTTCACTCTTTTCGTATGTCTCTACTGTTCTCGTTTATTTGCTTATTATTGTTCCTTTCTTTTCTAATTGGGAAATGTAAACCGTACTGAATAAAAAAAGTCAAAATGTAGGCCGTAACAATTAAATATTTTAAATACAATTGCAGGTCATCGTACATTTTTTCACGAAAATATACGATTATATCATTACCCAAAAATAACCATTATAAATTACTACACTTACAGTACGAGTATTTTTTGGAGTACAAATTTTACGCTACTTACTCAATAATGTCGACTTATTATCGTTATCGTTATTGTAATTTAATTATAAGCACGCTTACGATTTAATAAATTATTCTTTCATCATCACAGAAATTTTGATTAAAGAGTTAATGAACGTATTGATTACTTTTTGCGCCTTTTTCTCTATCATTATTTTACTTTTTCTGTCTTTTCCCTCCCAACTTACCTAACCCTAAATAATCTTCCCCTTCCTTAGTGTGCCGAACTCCCTTATTTACTCATTGTTTCCCCCTCTCCGCGGAATGCCCACTTTTTCCTCAACACTGTTCATTACCACTTGGTTTGTTTCCATCTTTCTGATGCCCTTCCCTTTGCTCATCTTTCTTTTACTACATTTCGTATATCTCCGCTCCTCCTCTAGTCTTTTTTTACCCTTTCCTCATTTTTTAGTAGATACCCGCTCCTGTCTGTTACAATTCAAAATTAGAAACCAAATAACAATTACTAAAATCTGGTTGCGCCAACTGAATAAAAGAGGCAAAATTGAGTTTAGTGAAAATTTGAAATTGCCGTTGAGCCGGTAGGACTATCATTTTCCGAGGAAATTTACGATATTACAGGCACAGTAGGAGCATATTATTTTTGCGGTACAAATTTTACAAGCTGTTAACGCTATCGTCATTGTTATTTCATTACGATTTAATAAATCAGCTTTTAATGATTACAACTGTCGCAGCATGCAATTATGAAGATCATATGCAACGGTTCAAATGACAATATTACATTTAGCCTTGACATTGTTAACACATACTTTGTATACCTAGATAATTAGCTTCGTTAATACTTGCGTAATCATGTCTTAATTTAAACCATGTAGAGATACGTTAGTCAAGTGAGAGCTTTCCGACAAGTAATTCTGAAATGTTATATTTCACGTTCAAGAAACGGGATGTTTTGGTGAGCGCAACAATTTTACGTCTGAAGAGGACCAAAGTTTGAACAGCAATTACGTCAACACCAAAAGCTTGGTTTTTCCGCTATACATTCTTCCTCCACTAAACATGGTTATTGGCATAAAGTAAACAACGTAGTCTATGTTATTAGTAATTAGGAATCACCCGGGAAAACTCGTTCCGATAAATTCGGCTTCTTCAGGAACCCCGCTGGACCTAGCCCCACCACTATTGTGAATGAATTTAAGAATGGGATCCAATTTATGAGTTATTTAGGAGCTTTTCATAATCGAAAAATTCTTATGGGGTGGCCGAGTCTACTTGGATTCAGCCCCCCACTGATTCGAATTACTTTTTTCAAATTAAATTTTGTACTGGAATTACGAGCTATTTAA